GAGGAGGCGCTGCCCCGGGGCATGCCGGGAGGAGCCCCCTGCGTCTCACCCCCCCCCCTCGGGTCCCACTGCGCCTGCTCGGGCCCGGTGAGGGGTGGAAGGCGGGATGCTCATGGGGAAGGGGGGGGGGCCGGCCTGATGGACAGCCTGACCTGTGACCCCCCCCGCAGCCTGAGGACGAGGAAGAGGAGGAGGAGGAGGAGGAGGAGGATGGGGAGGAGGAAGAGGATGACGATGACGATGAAGAGGAGGAGGAGGAGGAGGAGGGAGGAGAGCCCGCGCTGGAGGAGCTGGAGCAGCGCGAGGTGCTGGTGCTGGGGCTGGACGGCTGCGGCAAGAGCACGTTCCTGCGCATGCTCGCCGGGAAGCCCCCCCTGGAAGGCCACGTCCCCACCTGGGGCTTCAACTCCGTGAGGCTGCCCACCAGGAACTTCGAGGTGGACCTGCTAGAGAGTGAGCAGACACCCCTTCCTTCCCTCCCCCCGCCCCCCCCCCCCCGCCGCCCCCCCCACCTCCCTCCCTCATCGAGGGAAGCAGGCCTGGAGGCCTAACAGGTGGAATCCGAGATGCATATGCTAACCCCAGACATGTCCCTCAATGCAATTCCAGCTGCGGGACCCCTGCATGGCTTGGAGGGGGCCCCTTCCTGATCCCAACTAATGAGACTCAGCCACATACAGCTAAGGGTTCATAGGCCAAGCCCTTGACTGACATTTACTGGGAAAACCTTCTCAGGAACTGGCCATCATGGCTCACACCAGTCATCCTCTCTACTCAAGAGGCTGAGATCTGAGGATTCGTGGTTCAAAGCCAGCCAGGACCCAAAAAAAAAAAAAAATCTGTGAGACCAACAAAAAGTTGAAGGTGGAGCCATGGTTCACATGGTAGAGGGAAAGCCGCCTTGAGCAGGAATGCTAAGGGACAGTGCTCAGGCCCTGAGTTCAAGTCCCCGTACTAGCACACACACACACACATCTTCCTGAACCAACTCCATAGAAGAAAAATTCATTCTTAGTCTCATACATCTGAAGAGAAATCCACGCCCTGAACTCTGATTACTGGCCCAAGGTCACCTTGGCCGACTTCTTTTGGGTCCCGTCATGGGGCCTGAACTCTGGGCCTGGGCACTGTCCCTCAGCTCTTCAGCTCAAGGCTAGTGCTCTACCACTTGAGCCACAGCGCCACTTCCAGCTTTTTTCTTTTTGCTTATGTGGTGCTGAGGAGTCGAACCCAGGGCCTCATGCATGCAAGGCAAGCGCTCTACCACTGAGCCACCTTCCCAGCCCCAAGGCCGATTTCTTTTGTTGTTTTGTGTCAGGACAGGGGCTTGAACTCACATTCTTTTTTTTTTGGGGGGGGGCGGGGGACTGATCCTGGGGTTTGAACTCAGAGCATGGGTGCTGTCCCTGAGCTTCTGTCAAAACTAGAACTCTACCACTTGAGCCATAGTACCACTTTTGACCTTTTCTAAGCAGTTTGAGAGTCTCAAAGACTTTCCTACCCAGGCTGGCTTTGAACTGTGATTCTCAGATCTCAGCCTCCTGAATAACTAAGATGACAGGCATGAATCACTGGTTACCCTTCTAGCTTGGCATATTTTTTGTTGTTGTTGTTGTTGGCTGTGGGGCCTGAACTCTGGGCCTGGGCGCTGTCCCTCAGCTCTTCAGCTCAAGGCGAGTGCTCTAGCACTTGAGCCACAGCGCCACTTCCAGCCTTCTCTGCTTATGTGGTGCTGAGGAATCGAACCCAGGGCCTCATGCATGCAAGGCAAGCGCTCTACCACTGAGCCACCTTCCCAGCCCATTGCTTGGCATATTTTGCTCAAGGCTGGCACTTGTCCACTTAAGCTACCACTGCTGATGGCCGGTTTTAGGTCCTGTTCCCTCTGTCTGTAATGACCTCTGATACACCTGTCACCTGTCCATCAAGCGTTAAGTGTCCAGGCTATGTTAAGGATTCCGCCTCCTCTGTTCTTCCTGCTGCTGCAGTTCACCATTGAGCACCCTGTGTTCCTGACTAGGCCGTGAGCAGCTGGCCACAGACTAGTCTGGCCCGGATTGCTTATCTCCAAGCAGATATATGTGACAGTTTGCTTGTCTGTGTGTGCCGGAAGTGAGGCTTGAACACAGGGCCTCACATTTTTTGCTTAGCTTTTTCTGCCCAAGGCAGAATTTGCCCAAACTGGCTTCAACCTGGCAACCTCATATCTCAGCCTCCTGAGTAGCTAGGAAAAGAGAGGCATGAGCCACCAGTGGCCAGCTCTGTGAGAGCCCATTGAATGATTAAAGAGGGTCTGGAGGAGGCCTCTGCCCTGCAGTACTCAGTTCCCTGTGTCTCCATTTCAGTGGGGGGGACAAGACTTCCTGCCAGCCACAGACAACAAACCATTAGGAACAAGTGGGTTCAGGGCTGGGAAGGTGGCTCAGTGGTAGAGCGCTGGCCTTAGCATGCATGAAGCCCTGGGTTCGATTCCTCAGTACCACATATGCAGAAAAAGCCAGAAGTGGTGCTGTGGCTCAAGTGGTAGAGCGCTAGCCTTGAGCACAGTGATGCTCAGGGACAGTGCCCAGGTCCTGAATTCAAGCACCAGAACAATACCAGGAGGGAGGGATGAAAGGAAGGGAAGAATAGGTGGGTAGATGGTAGAATCTGACTTTGAGGGTCTGTGTCCCTGAGTGGGTTCAGTTTCCCTGTACCCCACACTCGCTCTCCAGCCTGGCATGGTAACATCTTTTTGCCCCATTCACTTAGGATTCTGGGCTTTCCACCAAGCTTTCTCTGAATTGTTCCCTTACGCCAAGCCATCAGGTGAAATGGAGACTCGGCAGTTAAGGCCCTGTCAGTCAGCCAAACCTGAGCCGTTCCTCTGCCCTGGGGGAGAGGGAATTTTTAGGAGATTCTGACAGGTAACAGTCTAGACTCCATGGGATCACCCCAATTTCCCAATCAAATGCAAGGACTTTCTCCACATTGCCTAAGTGGGGGCCCTTTGGGGATAATTGGTGAAGAAACACCTTGATATATCATCTCTTGCTCTGTCTGTGTGTGTCTGTCTGTCTAAATAATATGAAATCAAGGCCTCCCATTCTTTTTTTTTTTTTTTTTAATTGGTCAGACATGGTGCCTGAACTCTGGGCCTGGGCGCTGTCCCTCAGCTCTTCAGCTCAAGGC